AATGCTAAAAATCAGAATAAGAGAGCATATATGGGCTGTGAGGTATAACTACACCAACTCAGTGGTCATCACACACTAATCATGTCTGTTGTGAGATTTCACTTGACAGCGTCAAAATTCGTAAAAAAGAAAATTTTTTGAACATATTGAAATTATTAAAATAAACAAAATTAATAGAATGAATTTAAACACTGGCATTGTCATCAGTGAGATCTGGCAACCATTACTACCAAAATAAGAAGTCTATTTTAAGACGTTCTTCCTCCACTCTTAATTCACGTTCTTTGTACCATATAAAGTATCAGATTTCCTGATAAACATACAGCCTTTACATCTACCTGTTTTAAACCAGTTTTTATGTTTGTGATTAGTAGTTTGTGGGATGTTGATCTGTCATTTTATGTAGTGACTTTAGACACCTGCCTAACTTCTATGAGGTCTGAACCCCTGCAATACAAGGGGTTCAGACCTCATAATATATATAGTATATTAACTAGCATTGAATATTAATTAAAATACTATATATTCTGTATATGTATATATAAAATTGTGAATTTTTTAATCTTTTGTATAGTTATTTTTAAAGAAAAATAAAAAAAAATTGTATTATATTATTTTTTTCTATTTTTAGAGTAATTTTTTCACTATCTTTTATTCATCAAAATTTAAAAAAAAGCAATTTGTATATATTATATCTCTCCTTAATCCTTAATGTAAATTTTTATGATGATAACAATTCTTTATTTTTATATAATTATTACACATTATCTCAGTTTAATGAATGCTAAAGAAAAATAAGCATTATCTTCTTTTACATTAATTTTTTTGCTTTGTTTTAATTTGTGTAAAAGAACTTTTACCTAAAAATTTATTTAGGAAAGAAGCTAATAAATTCAAAATGTATGAACATCAGTTTTGATGAATAAAAAAATGATTTCTTTATTAGTGATGGAGATTGACTTTTATTCACCATTCTTTATATAAACAGAATGGTGAAATGGTGATCAGCAAAAATATTTAAATTTCAACAAAATAGTTTAAAATATAAACAAATTTATATTTTAATTGAAAAAATATATAAAATCATTTTTAATATTCAATAAGTTTACTTATAATGATAAAACAACTTTCTCATTATTATGAAAGTTTTGATTCATAAATGCTACTGTAGTACATTAAAAATCATGTAAACCACCTTTGAAAATTAAGTAAAAATACTTACTTGTTTAGACTAAATCAACTGCTATTTTGAATTTTAAAAATTAATTTTTTAAGATGAGCCAGTCTAGACATTTGTCTGATTCTTTTTCTCAAAAAAATTGTTAAAATGTCAAATTTGGGTGTCAAATTGAATGCAATTTTAGTGTTTGTTCATTTTAAATTATTAATTAAAATTTGTTAAAATGTTTAATTTGAATGTCGCATTCAATATGATTAGTTGTTCATTAAATTATTGATCAAATTTTAAATTTTGTTCTTGTTTACTTTCTCCCAATCATTACATTGTCTGATAAAGCAAGTTTTCAAAAGTGTCAACTCTAAATGGGACCCAAGAACAGGTTGCAAAAATTGCTCCTATATGCACCATTGTATTACAAGGATGTAATATGACAGAGACTAAATGTGGCATCATACAGCCACAGATGAAACCAAATAATTCAGTTGAATGGAACAATGTTAAAAATTACCAGAGTTTCCATACCTAAAATGTTGCAAATAGCTGCTTGTATTGCCATAATGGATGACATGCTAGCTATGCAGAGTTGTGTAGATCAAAGGTAGAAGCATTCATCAATTACAGATGGTCATTTTAAGTATGTAAAGTAAGATGTATAAAGTATCAGTGTTTTTTCATATTTTTTTGTTTAATGTTTGTTTTTGTGGTATTGCTTGTTTCCTCATATAAATTTTAGAATTTGCTATAATCATTAACATGAACTTGAGTTATGAATTTTATATATAGAGTTAGGAATATTAATATGAACAGATATTTTTAATTATTCATAATATAAAATACAGGAAACATAATTAAAAACGTCCAAAATGGATCTAAACTTGGAATATACAATACACAAAATTAGTGTTAATTAAATATAACTTGAACATAATTAAGAAAATAATTTTATAAGTTATTTTATGTTTCAAGTATTTTATTGAAATCTAGATAATTATATTATTTATAAAATATCAGAAAACATATAATGAATTTACAGTATATCCCAAAACTTATAATAAAGTATTATACTTGATAGGTAACTAGACAATGTTATATAGAAATCTCTAATTTTTAAATTTTTTTTAAATTACATTTTTTCATTAGCTTGAATTAATTAGGAATAAAATTATTTATAATCATAATTAATTTTAATTTTTTGAATTAATATTTATTTTGATTAATGAAAAACACATTTATTTTAAAAATATATAAACAAATTTTAAGACAACAAACAGTTCAATTTTAAGATAATATTTAATTTATTATTTATACATTGGTGACTTAAGTTTTTCAATATACATAGTTACAAAATATAAACATATATTTTGATAATTCACATAAACTCATAAGTCATATTCATTATATTAGAGAAATACTGTAAGGTAAATGATATAAACTATTTGGCACTACATCTTAATTTAAAAATTTATATGGTTACAATATTATGTTATAATATGTTTTCAATAAGCACAAATTACATATAAAGAAGATACAATGAACACATCTCAGCAGTTAAATCTCTAAATTTTCAAGAATCTAAGCACTGTTGTTGATAAGGTGTGTTTCAAATTTATACGGACACGAAAAAATTAAAGTGAAACCCAAATTTGCGTCATTAAGCAACAAATGTTTTATTAAAAATAACATGGATTTACATGTTTCCACACTGCAAAATAAGAATTTTAATCAAACATTAACATTTTGTCAGGAAAATAATATTTTTGAAAATTTTGTACAAAAAAACTTACATATTTATCTGGACAGGCTTCAAATTGCAAAATTTTCTTACAGTTTAATGGCCAATGTAACCACCATTTAACTTGATTACATTAAATACTCTATTAGGCATTGTTTCAATTAGATTCTGAAGGAATCTTAAGTTTATCCCAAGCATCCGAAATTGCTGCCTTCAAGTCATGAATTGTGGAAAACTGTTTTCCATTGGCATAAACTGTACGAACCATCATCCCCCAAAGATTTTCCATCGGATTCAGGTCAGGGCTTCTAGCAGGCCATGTCATCATATTAATATTTTTACGTTTAAACCACATTTTTGTTGATTTAGAGGCATGCACAGGGGTATTCTCTTGTTAAAAGCTTCAATTTGGTTCATAAATATTTGGTTCAGTTTCCAATAAGCATGCCTCGATACTTCTTTCAATTCATTCTATGAGTTATAAATGCTAAATCTGTGGTTCCATTGAATCAAAATGCACCCCACACCATTATTGATCCCCCACNACTTTTTTCCTATATGTCACATTTTCATTTGACTGCCCCTTATATTATGATCATCAAATACATATTTGATGAAATAGGGAAATTACTCAGCTTTTGGTGTTCATATACTGTAACTTTAATAAAATTAAGAAATTGAATGTTTTTGGCAGTTACATAATGTCATCATCAGGAACTAGTTTAGAACAAAATTATGTAAAACAAATTAAACAAAATTCTCACATATGAAGTAAATTAAATGTACAAATTGGCAAGGTCAATTTTAATATTATAGTTCAATATGTGATATTAGAAAATTCACAATGTAATTAAACAATAACAATTAAGTAAAAGTACTGTAAATAGAAGAGAAAATATTAACACATAAAATCATATTAAATTAGCCAATAATCTTGTGGATCAAGATGTAGGATTTTGACTACACATGAATACAAATGCAATTGTAGATGTGGTTTTAATAATTGTTCTTCCAGTTATTTTCAAATTAAAATCATAGATTCTTACCTGATTTAATTTAACTAAATATGATATTATTTATCTTCATAAATGACTTTTTCTCCTAATAAAATGGTTAATTTATTCAAATTTAATTATTCTGGAATCAAAATATTTAATTTGAATATTTAAAATTTTTTAAATTGATTTATTTTTCCTGAAGTGGCAATGAACTACCAAATCCAATAAATGAAGTATTTCATTATAAATATAACATTTAATAACATGGGGGAAAAATGAAGATTAAACTTAAAAAGCACTTTCAAATACTGAAATATTAGCAGAAACTGAAGCAGTTTTAGATAGAAGAGAAAATGTTTACTTAAGTTTTATTCTTGCTTCTTTCATGTAATTAAACAGGTTTTTTTTTATTTGTTTTTTCCTTCACTACTAGGTACATAAATAGACACAAGGCATTTTACATCATCTTTATTAATCTTCCATAGGCTGATATGCCTTTTGGGCAAGGCCCCTCATCTGTCGGCATTACATCTGGAATTTTCTTTAGAATTTTTTCTTGTTACATATATATTTTTTCATTTAAAATTATGTATTTAATTGTATTATTATGTATTAGAATTATGTATTAAAATTTTATTAAATTATGGATGTAATGCCGACAGATGAGGGGCCTTGCCTGAAATATGTATCGGTCTATGGAAGATTAATAAAGATGATGTGAAATGCCTTGTGTCTATTTATGCACTTAGTAGTGAAGGAAAAAAACAAATAAAGGAAAACACGATCTCGGAAATACATAAGGTTTTTTAATGCTTTGCTATGTGCAGATCCTGAACATGTCTGTTGCATCTTACATAATAAATATTTGACACAACTAAATGTTTATATTACTTTAAAATATATATTCTGAATCATTAATAAGTGTTTTTCATTATTCTGAAAATTTTATAATTACTGCTCTTAATAATTATTGCAACTGTTTTATCTTATATCTATTTAACACATTATAACACAAAATAAGGATACACAGTAAACTTTGTGTTGGAAAAAACATAGTAATTCCTGAAAGGAATCCAATTAATTCTAACTCCAGTCTAAGTGGTATTTTTATGTTAATTACAAATTAAATATGATATGATTATAATAATGATCCTTTAAGATGTGATAATGCCGTTAATTATTATCACAATTGTTTCATTACAAAATATGCTGATATGTTGTCATACTTCATATTGTTTTCTTCAATGCAAGAACTCCAATCAACAATAATATTTCTGAACAAACTGGTAAGGCACTGCAAAAACCAAATATCCACCAATAAAGATCACAATCCCATATATCAGTAATAAAATATGCAAGAGCAATTGTTGCACTTGAATGAGTAACTATAGCTGAAATAAAATTAAGGAAAGTAATAAAACAGAATGATATTATTCAAAATTCATATTGTTAACAATTACATCACCCAAATCAATAATAATATTTCATTATATAAGGGGCAGTCAAATGAAAACAAGACAGATGGGAAAAAAGTAAGTAAACTGTTTATTATTTCAAAAGTAATTGCCATGACTGTTAATACATTTATCCCACTGTGAGACAAGATGGTCAATGCCTTATGGAATAATGTTTGCTGTTGCGTACAGAACTATGATTGTACCTAGGCGTGCATCTTTGTCCGAAGCAAATCGACGACCACAAATGTCTTTCTTCAGGGCTCTAAAAATATGGAAATCAATGGGAAGAGATTGGGACTGTATGGAGGATGTATAAGGGCTTTCCAGCGAAACTTCTGCAGCATAGTTGAAACAATCTTGGAAACATGTGGGCAGGCATTATACTGCACGAAATGATGCCATCCATCAAAATTCCTGGGCATTTGGCCTTGATGGCGCGCTTCAAGTTTACTGGGAAGCTTTTACAATCCTCTGTATAGTCCTGATCTATCCCCATGCGATTTCCATATTTTTGGAGCCCTGAAGAAAGACATTCGTGGCCATTGATTTGCTTTGGACAAAGAGGTGCATACCTGAGTACAATCATGGTTCAGTAGGCAACTGCAAACATTATTCCATAAAAGCATTGACCATCTTGTCTCACAGTGGGATAAATGTATTAACAGTTATGGCAATTACTTTTGAAATAATAAACTGTTTATTATTTCAAAAGTAATTGCCATTATATTTAATTCCTATATGTCACATTTTCATTTGACTGCCTGCCCCTTATATTATGATCATCNGAAAGTAATAAAACAGAATGATATTATTCAAAATTCATATTGTTAACAATTACATCATCTAAATCAATAATAATATTTCATTATATAAGGGGCAGTCAAATGAAAACAAGACAGATGGGAAAAAAGTAAGTAAACTGTTTATTATTTCAAAAGTAATTGCTATGACTGTTAATACATTTATCCCACTGTGAGACAAGATGGTCAATGCCTTCATGGAATAATGTTTGCTGTTGCCTACGGAACCATGATTGTACCTAGGCGTGCATCTTTGTCCGAAGCAAATCAACGACCACAAATGTCTTTCTTCAGGGCTCTAAAAATATGGAAATCAATGGGAAGAGATTGGGACTGTATGGAGGATGTGTAAGGACTTTCCAGCGAAACTTCTGCAGCATAGTTGAAACGATCTTGGCAACATGTGGGCAGGCATTATACTGCACAAAATGATGCCGTCCGTCAAAACTCCTGGGCATTTGCCTTGACGGCACGCTTCAAGTTTACTGGGAAGCTTTTACAATCCTCCGTACAGTCCTGATCTCTCCCCATGCGATTTCCATATTTTTGGAGCCCTGAAGAAAGACATTCGTGGCCGTTGATTTGCTTTGGACAAAGAGGTGCATACCTCGAGTACAATCATGGTTCAGTAGGCAACCGCAAACATTATTCCATGAAAGCATTGACCATCTTGTCTCACAGTGGGATAAATGTATTAACAGTTATGGCAATTACTTTTGAAATAATAAACAGTTTACTTACTTTTTTCCTATATGTCACATTTTCATTTGACTGCCCCTTATATTATGATCATCAAATACATATTTGATGAAATAGGGAAATTACTCAGCTTTTGGTGTTCATATACTGTAACTTTAATAAAATTAAGAAATTGAATGTTTTTGGCAGTTACATAATGCCATCATCAGGAACTAGTTTAGAACAAAATTATGTAAAACAAATTAAAAAACAAAATTCTCACATATGAAGTAAATTAAATGTACAAATTGGCAAGGTCAATTTTAATATTATAGTTCAATATGTGATATTAGAAAATTCACAATGTAATTAAACAATAACAATTAAGTAAAAGTACTGTAAATAGAAGAGAAAATATTAACACATAAAATCATATTAAATTAGCCAATAATCTTGTGGATCAAGATGTAGGATTTTGACTACACATGAATACAAATGCAATTGTAGATGTGGTTTTAATAATTGTTCTTCCAGTTATTTTCAAATTAAAATCATAGATTCTTACCTGATTTAATTTAACTAAATATGATATTATTTATCTTCATAAATGACTTTTTCTCCTAATAAAATGGTTAATTTATTCAAATTTAATTATTCTGGAATCAAAATATTTAATTTGAATATTTAAAATTTTTTAAATTGATTTATTTTTCCTGAAGTGGCAATGAACTACCAAATCCAATAAATGAAGTATTTCATTATAAATATAACATTTAATAACATGGGGGAAAAATGAAGATTAAACTTAAAAAGCACTTTCAAATACTGAAATATTAGCAGAAACTGAAGCAGTTTTAGATAGAAGAGAAAATGTTTACTTAAGTTTTATTCTTGCTTCTTTCATGTAATTAAACAGGTTTTTTTTTATTTGTTTTTTCCTTCACTACTAGGTACATAAATAGACACAAGGCATTTTACATCATCTTTATTAATCTTCCATAGGCTGATATGCCTTTTGGGCAAGGCCCCTCATCTGTCGGCATTACATCTGGAATTTTCTTTAGAATTTTTTCTTGTTACATATATATTTTTTCATTTAAAATTATGTATTTAATTGTATTATTATGTATTAGAATTATGTATTAAAATTTTATTAAATTATGGATGTAATGCCGACAGATGAGGGGCCTTGCCTGAAATATGTATCGGTCTATGGAAGATTAATAAAGATGATGTGAAATGCCTTGTGTCTATTTATGCACTTAGTAGTGAAGGAAAAAAACAAATAAAGGAAAACACGATCTCGGAAATACATAAGGTTTTTTAATGCTTTGCTATGTGCAGATCCTGAACATGTCTGTTGCATCTTACATAATAAATATTTGACACAACTAAATGTTTATATTACTTTAAAATATATATTCTGAATCATTAATAAGTGTTTTTCATTATTCTGAAAATTTTATAATTACTGCTCTTAATAATTATTGCAACTGTTTTATCTTATATCTATTTAACACATTATAACACAAAATAAGGATACACAGTAAACTTTGTGTTGGAAAAAACATAGTAATTCCTGAAAGGAATCCAATTAATTCTATTCCCACAAATAAAATTGCTAAACTTAAACCAACAATTAATCTATAAAGATAAAATTAAAAAATGATTAATAAATGAATTTGAATTATAATTACTTCTTTTATTACAGAAACAATTTCTATAATAATATTAATAAATGAATTTAAATTACAATTACTCTTTATATTATATAATTCAAAAGAAGTAATTTTAATAAAATGAACTAATTTTATTACTTTACAAAAAAAGAAAAGAAAAAACTTTGTTTTCAAGACTTTCAAAAGAAACTTTTTGGAAAATAAAGTTGTATTCAATATCAAATCTAAAATAAATTTACATTATAGTATGTTTCATTTATTTAAATATATAATATTCAATATAAATAAAAATTATATTATTATTAATAATATCATAAAATATAAAATTATAGGTAGGCAGTCAGGGTCCCATCTAATGATAAATTTAATTTTTTTCAGGAAGCATAACCAGCAATCATCTGCACAGTAAGCACGATTTGTGGGTTCTAATCCTACTCTGGGCTGATCTTTTCTGTCAAATTATTGTAAATTTAAATTATAAATTAAATTAGGTTTGTTACAGCCCAATAAATAATCAGGCAGTTTGTTTGGTATATGTAATAGATTAATATTTATGTTGTTGTTTGTTATTCAGTCAGTTTGAATGTGTCAGTCAAATAATAAATATGCTGTCTGAAAAAACAATTAACTGAATGAAATAAGATGAAGTGAGTTAGCAGTGGAATTACTTAATAATCCTTGAGAAGATAACACACAAACTATACTTTGACAGATAAAATGATCAATTACAGAAGATTTATCTTCTGTAATTAGAAGGATATTATCTTCATTGACAAAGTGCACAAAACTATGTCATTGACATCACTATACCAAATACACATAATCTTCAAAATAGCTATACAGAAGAAATAAATATATTGAACTCTCTCACCAAATAAAATGCCTATGGAAAATGAATAAAGTCCATACCATATCTATAGCCACAGGAGTTATCCCACATTCATTACATAAAAGCCTGAAGACAATAGACATTCATTCAAATTTATATACACAAAAAGCTACCATTCTGGCTTGTCATACTGTCAAAAAATTTCTCCAAACTGTTTAAAGTTTTGTATTGGTCTCATAAGCTTGGCTCTTCAGCCCACCTGTGAGATTTGATACTGGACACAATCCAAGAATGATACACAGTAAAAATTAATAATAATACTTATCTCTCAATTGACCAATTTATTGAAAAATTGAATATATAATTCTGACTATACTGAAATATTTTAAATTTAGAAAAAAAAATTATTTATTTTACATTTTACATATTTTATATAAATTTAATTGTAATTTATTACTAAATGAATTTTAAAAGATTTTTTTATATAATATTTGTTTATTGCCATTAAATTGTCTATGACCTAATAATTCAGATCATAGACAATTTATTTTTTGCAAAAAGTTCAATAAAAAACATGTCATTTGCAATATCTGTATATAAATGTCATGTTTCCCAATTTAATTTATTGATATAAGTTAGAACAGATACATAATTGTAAAATTTTCCATGGCTCAAAGTATGAAATTTTTGGGGACTATCGTTACATTTCAGATATAAAATGAAAAATAATGTAATAAAAGATATATGAAATCAATGAAATTATTTTAGAAAAAGACTTTGTTAAAAGTAATATTTATTTCAGATAATACAAACAAGCAAAAATTGAATGATTAATGATGATAACATGTATTTTTTTATCTTATGAAATAAAAATACATCTTAGAATTGAGGAAATATAGTTCTACTAACATACATGCCCATTGAATTTCAACAGGTGTTTTTAAATGAAAAAAGAAGAGCAAGGAGAAGATAAAATCAAGAAGATAAGACATCCAAATTTTTTCTAACATTAACTCCAGCATACCATTCACATCTGAATATGAAATAGTAATTGGCCAACCAATCAAAGTTTGAAAAAAAATGGACCAAATATGTAGATATTTAAATTTGACACACTTGAAAACCCTAAAAACATATTCTGTGCACACTAGTAACTTTGTATGATGTGTTTTTCCTATTCATATGCTAGCATCCTGCTGTTAATATAAAAGAGGGAGGCCTGTTGCAGGAAGGTTACTGCAGTTAATTTGCAATAGTCATTGATCTCCTGAATGAGAAGATGTCCCTGAAAAGTTTCATTGCATTTGTTCAAATCATGATGGAATGGTATGAAGAACAAACAATCTATCAATAATTTTCTTCTTTAAATATTAAATAAAACAAAAAAATATGTTTCTATTATATTGTTCTTACCAGAAATGAATCTTTTTATTTCTTAATTTCCTGGGTGTATATTGAAGTCTGAAAGATCTAAATTTAATCTTTGACATTTGGAGAAACTTATTGTCTGGGAAGATAATATTCCATATTTAAAACAGTATGGTAACAGTTTGTATGCTTAAGTTCTTTTCTTACCTTAAATAATTCATTATGATAAATGTTTATATTGTAAGATTCTCCAAACCTGCCTAATTTCTGTCTAAAAATTAAAAGGCAGCAAAGCTGCAGATATAGAACATTAATATATTTTCAAATTTTTTTAGAAGAGATTAATTAGTTGTTTGATATAATTTTTTTCTGTTTTCTAAATAAATATAAGAAAATCAAAACTTTAATTATTATTCATTTCCTAAGCCAGTGTTTTCCAACTTTTTTCTAATAAGGAGTACTCCCAACTTCATAATTTTTCTTGCAGCACTCCAACTTCTTCATATACTTTGTACTGTACATGTATTTATAATATGTATTAATTAGTTTAAATTATATACAGTATTTTCAATAAAATTACAAAGATATTAAATAATTTATAATTTTAATTACATAAAAATATATAACAAATTTAAATAATACATGTAATTATTTATTGTGATATTGTCATAATGCCAGCTGCAATTTTTAATCACATTTTTTAAATTTATGTAATTTAAAATATATGCTCTCCACCTCAAATTAGTAGTGTCTTGCCCCTGTACATAATACTTTTCCTGTTAGCAACAGAGTCATGCCATCATCTATCTTATTCCTTACGGGGAAAATTTTTGAATTGTAATAACACAACTTCTGGTTTGCCTCAGAAGTTCATATACAGTTAACCAGGGCCTCCTGCCCCTAAGCTTTCTATATCTGGTCTCAACCTTTCATCTATGTAACTCCGTTCTCAAGATTAAGGAAGGACAGACAGACAGACAACAGTGGGAATTTATAGATCTACAATTTTTTCAAAATACAGCCCAAAAGCATTATGGTACTGCTCATCACTGTCTTAAACTATGAATTTTCTATTTACTATTAATTTTACTTGCTCTTCTTCAGGAATTTTGCTTTTAAAATTTGTAATTTTTTAATAATTATTAATTTGAATATAAATATGCAATGATTTTAACTGGAAATATGCAAAAAACCATGAAAAATATTCAATATATAAAAGAATCAATATTTCCACCATTGGCAACATTAATGGTATATGGCAGAATGAATTCTGGAAGATGCAGGTCTTTTGAATGATCTGTTTTCTTAAGCTTTTCTTTCATATGTAAAGCCTTGGATTATTGGAATACCCAGGCACTCACCTTAACATCCTTACCTCTATATTTTGTAAATAAGTGTATTGTCTTTTTTAATTTTTTGCACATTGTTGTTTGGTTATTCCTGTTTGGCTTACATTTCCAGGAGGAAATTTATGAATAACATTCAGAACTGAAAATAACTGTCATTGAGAACTCTACACACTGTCTGACTTAAAACAATGAGGATCCTAAGATCAAATAAATATCTCAGCGTGGATTAAAGTCAGCATCATATTAATAAAATGCATCTCATAAACAAAGTGTTGACAAATATATATCACACTAACCTTATAAAGCTTTGCAGATATTTTTCAACGTATCACAAACGTTTTCAGTCCACCCTAGGACCACCTTCAGGTGGAGTTCTATTAGAGTAAACCTTTTCTGGAGCAATTCCATTCTATTCCGTTCCAATGTTTTCCAATTTCTTTTTGAATTTTCCTTTTAAATCTTAAATTCCTAACGATGTGCACCTGCATTGGCTGTTATAACGCCAGGTCATACATAGCTTGCCACGCCCTCGAGAGTTGTTTTTCATCTTTAAAATTGATTGAAAGACCTTGGCATTCCGCTTTAAAAATTTCTAATGCCTTCAAATTCCTAAGTTGGTGTCTATAATGAGTTTGCCGGATCATGGTCGCTTGTAATTCGGGTGTAATGCAGTTTTCACTGGCATATATAGCTAAGGTGGTAGTGTTTTTCTTCTTTTCAATATCGGTTTTATGCTCACGGAGGCGTTGTCTGAGTTATCTTCTAGTAGATCTGATATATACAAGATCTCTATTGAATCTGTCATCTTTGAGTAGAATTGGTGTCATATTAATGTTGGTGCCAACCGTCTTGTGGTCTGAAGAGATCTTAATTTTTGCTTAAACAGATGAGGGACCAATCAGATTGCAAAAAACATTTGAAGCAAATTGATGTCAGATTAAACACTCCAACCTTTTAAAAACCCTCATCTCGAGGATACAGTGGAAAAGTACAGCAGTGGAATAGTGGATGTGGGTGTGTGTCCGCTGTACATGCGAGTCAGTTTGCTTGTTATCCAATTTTCCATCTAGTTACCATTCATCCTGCTACTCTCTCTATCTCTTTCTGCCATTCACCATTTGAGCTGAGTCATTCTACTGTTTGTTGGATGTAATTTCACAGTATGTGTATGTCTCAACATCAGCTGTTGATAAAATCTGCTACATCTAGTGGGACTTTCACCATATGAAAGTGTAGAAGTAAAGTGTATTCTTCCTCTGCTGGAGTCCTCAAAATCCATCTGAATTAAACTATCATCTATGTTTTGGTTTGTTTGTAATGGCTTGGTTTGATTTGTATTTTTTAATAAATTGTAATATTACTAGAAACAATATTGTATAAAAAGGTTGTTTAAATGTTAAACAAATGTCATACTTAACATGATACTCAAGATTTAATATGACAAGAACAGAAAAAGAGAAACTTGAACATTAAAATAAATATTTTTCTGAATGTGATGCAAAAATGAAACTTTTAAAAAAATTATTATAAAAGTAAAACAGACCAAAGTGGGACAAAGACCACCCAAAATGCATTTCCCTACATAAGAAAAGATAATTTGAGTTGGAGTGTAGTTTCCTAAAATAAAAACTATTTTGTAAATTTTATTAAAATAATATTTGAAACTTTACTCAAAGAAACTAATATTAAATTCAGTAAAACCTATCTACAGTGACCACCCATGGTTCCTTCAAAAAGTGGTCTTTTAGACAGGTGGTGCTGTAAAAGCTTATTTCAGTATGTATTTTGTGCACTTTTTAGCCATTTCTACTAAGCGAAACTCGAAGTGAGCAACAATAAGCAACTTTTTCAACGATAGGGCTATATTGGTATTGTATTTTATTCTTATCAGATAACTCAATTTACAGGAGTCGTCATGATTTTATAAGACAGATTTAATACTAATATTTTAAAGATTAATACAATAGTCGCATTTTCTCAATTATAATGCACACTTTCTTTTTTCCGACTTAATTCAACTTGGTCATTTTCGTTTGCTCCTCAGTTACATGTATTACGTCATCAATATACAAGCGCATCATATCTCTCCATCACTTTAAACTAATGAATACTAAAACCAATCTTATTTTAACTTTAAAAATACTGTATTTTTTAAATATTTTCTTAAGTACAATAAGAAAAATTATTAATTAATAATAAAATGATTTTATTATTTTTTCTCATTATACGATTTCATTACATTCTGCAATTGTCATTGCAGAATCGAAAAAGGAAGGTTGCCTACAAAACTGATTTTTGCATTAATGGATTTATTGTTTTTTGAATATTTTGCATGCGAAAATTACTTGGATATTATTTTTCTAAAAATATCGTGGAAATAAGGTAGGTTGATACAGAAACTATTTATCGCACATGTACTGCATATGATCTTCAAAATAAATAAATAAATAAAAATAAATTTTATCAAACAATGAGATCAGCCGATTAATTGTATCGTGTACAATATTTTATACCTCCAAGGAAAATACCGTAGGTCTACGGTAAAATAAATTTTGTTTTCCCACAGTTAAACTTTGCTGCTAATTGCTGTTGTGATAACTTTAACACGATCTTCTAATGACAACACTTTGCATTTCTTTCATTTTTCAGACAATTTTAAACAAACTGAAATGAATTTCCTTTGCTGCTGTGCTAATTCATTAGCACCTGCACCTAATTTCAAGGGGGGAGAAGTGCCCAAGGTGGGTTCGAACGAGAGTTTAGACTAATTCATTATATTAGGAGGGGAAAATGTTGTTGAGATGGGTTCAAACAATAGTTTAGACTAGATATATTTTGCAAAAGTGGTCGCTTATTACAGTTGTACGTTGTTTCAGACCAAAAATTGATGCCTGCTGTCGCATTACATAGGTGGTCATTTAATACAGGTAACTTATACGAAGACTCTATGGATAAACTATTCAGTGCCAGAAATTTTTGCCTGTTTTGACAGGTGCCCGTCAAATGCAGGTGGTCGCCTAAGCAGTTTTCACTGTATTTGAATGCATTTTTTAATCTGAACATGTGTCTAAGAAAAAAATAAATAAGTACTAATATAAATTTTACGCTTTTTCTGAAATTTCAAAATTATTCTTTATTTTTATTTATTTTATGTATTTTGCAGATGAAATTGGATGATTATGAAAATGTTTAATAAAATAAATATATTTATAATTGTATAATTTATATAAATTCATTAACTTTTAAAATATTTACCTATTATACTTACTGATTGTCTTTATGATTATATTCTTCCTCTGTATATGTCCAAGGTAAACATGCTTTTACATTTTCATCCTAGTAAATGTACAAAATATATTATTACAATAAAAAGAAATTCATATTTATTTACCTGAATATTATAAAATATTTACAACTATCTTTAATTAAACAAATATTTAAATCAATTAAAAAAAAAGTAAAATATATTTATACATATACACATGTATGAAGCATGCACTTTGATGTTGAGAACATGTGCTTTTCGAAAATAAACGTAAAGAGAGAAAAAAAAATGCTTACTCTCGCCCAAAGAATAGTTATTAACATAACAAGATGACTTATTATCGTTAAAAAACGCGCCGGGACCAAACCGGATATTTGCATTTTACCGCCTCAAAAATAAAAACAAAAACATCCAAACGAAACGACCGCCATCTTGCTATACGTAACAATTACGACGCATGCTCATTTCATCTCACGTCATAGGCCACGTCACTAATGAAGAGTTGATGTTGAGAAGAAAAATTGCATTTTATTCGTTTTATGTATAATAATTACAAATATATTAATTGGTTGGTGCCAACCGTCTTGTGGTCTGAAGAGATCTTAATTTTTNTATATTAAATATATAAATTATTTTTTACAATAAAATATTCTGATATAAAAAGAATTATATTGACTTTAACAAATACATCTAGAACAAATTCATTATACTAAATTTTATTAAATGATTTTATACTTATTTTTGAAAGTTTAAATATAAATATTATATAATATATGTAATGATACTTTAATAAGTCATACCTGAGCAATACGATGATGTTGCAAATTAATTACACGAGAAGCTGCCATTTGAACAGTTCCGAATACAGCAACCACTTCTAATATTTTATCATCAAATGATGGAGCATAAAATATCTATGCACAAATTTAAACATATATAATTACATTAACTTTTGTTATAATAAAAATTCTATTTAAATATTAAAGATTTTATTATGAAGAAACTATCTAAAATGAAAATCAAGTTATAAAATTTCATTTTTAATTTCAGTATGTATTATATTTCAGTTCCTGAAGAAATGAAAATAAATTTTCTTAAAAATATTTAAATATATTTTCTATCATAACAAATCAAATCATAAATTTGTTTACAATTATTTTAATTAGGAAATGTAATTACAGTAGAGCCTCGAAAACTCGGCACTCGATAACCCGGCACTCCGGATAACTCCAGGGCAAAAAAATCCTTAGTTAATTAATTTTCATTATAGACAGCTTTATGCCTCATAAAGTATTTTTCTGGGGTCTGTCTTATCAGGTAAATTACTGTACACTGTGTATTCATTAATTTTCATTTTCATGTAGTAATGGCTCTGCCTTCATAAAGTATGTACTTTTCCTTTGTTTAAGGATATTTGGGCAGTTTATTCTTTGTTGTATTCTCAAGCAAACAATACATACAAGTATAGTACAGTATTTTCTGAGGACAAGTATACAAGTATAGTACAGTATTTTCTGAGGACTCCACACTCGTACTTATTTTTTAACGCCATTCCCGATAACCCAGCATTTTCACAAACTTGGCCACCCTTCGGTCCACATTAGGCCGAGTTTTCGAGGCTCTACTGTAATTAAAAAATATTAAAATAATATATATGCATGCACATTATATATCTAATTTGCTTGTTGACCCTTTTCCAAACTTTCGTTGACCCCATTGGGATGTCCTAGTTTAGATTTTTTAATTAGTTGTTTTTATAGGACTATAAACCAACAAATGCCTAAATAATCAGGCTATAATATGGTTATAATTAAATAATAAATACAAATGAATTTGGTATAGAGGCCATATTATAGCCCGATTATTTAGGCGTTTGTTGGTTTATTAATATGTCATTGGGCTTTGAGATGTATTATATTTATATATGACTATAATAACAATATAAAAATTATACAAACCTTCAAAATGTAGTTCTATAAAATTTTCAAGCTATATTCACAACTTCTTCAATATAAAATGTATTACTGGAAAAATTAAGTATAAAATAATATATTCATTGTATTCTAATATTTTTGAAAATGGACAGAAATATAAACTGTATTTACTCAAATGTAGGATGCATGCTTTTCAATTTTTATTATCTCTGAAAATAGGGTACGTCTTGGATTTGATGTAATACTTCATAATTAGTGACCAGTAGAAGTCACCAGTTTCATTGCATCATTTTAACGATTTTGTGAAACCACTATTTACAATAGCAAATGTTTGAGGTGAGCTTAGCTCAATCTCATTAGCATGTTACAATAATGTTGTATTTGGAAGAAAATCCCAAAAAAAGTTGTGCAGTACTCTTTTTCAAGAAATGCTGTACTTTTAGTAAATGGCACTGAAGATGATTGTATGTGGAAAAATGTGAGCATCAAATCTAATAATGGTTCAGTAGAACCTAATATATAAAGTGAAGAGGTTTCTGATTTGGGTACCATGGAAGACAGTGATATATAACTTAATTTTACAGTGCAATAAATATTGAACAAATTTATGTCAACAAAATCAGTTCCATTGACATTAATTTGTTCATAAATTTGTCTCACCCATCTTTCAAAAAAATTTTTTTGAGTATGTATGTAGAAACTCAGGTACCAGTATATCTTATATTTGAGTAATTTTTTTTTAATTTCTTTCTTTTTTTCTTTAAATTGATATTATTATATGTTTGACTTTTTTACAAAGTTAATTTTTAATAAAAGTATTATATGAATTAACATTGACCAGTACTATTTAAATAAAACTGAATTACCGTATTTACTCGCTTATAAGACGATCTTGCATATAGGACGAGGTGTGAGTTTAAAGATCAAAATAAAGAAAATTAGACTTATAAATACAATTTAATTTTATTTCGTTTAATCACAAATAAAATGTTAAATGCACATAAATGCACACATTGTCCTGCAAAAATTACTGGCATTTTAAACTTTAAGGAAAAATCTTCTAAAATTGACAACATAATTTGTTAATGTAAAGCTGGACAAGAATCTTTTTTGCCAATTCTTAACAGTCAAATCCACTCTGTCGATTATACTTATGAGTTTCTCCAAATAATCATCTGTTTTCACATGGAAATGGATTAAAACTTATATTGTGCTCCTGTGTGATTTTGGAATTTCAATCTTGAATTCAATTCAAAAGCTTTGCTTTTCTTATTGCTATTTATCTTTACTCCTGACAATACATAAGAACAATTGAAACAACACAGATAAAATACTTTTGTTTTTAAACATCAGAGGGTGATCATCTGGTAAAAAATGCAAACACACTGTTCACAAAAATTATTGCAAAAATGCAAAGAATCCTTCGCTCGTGCGTATAGGACAACCTAGGTTTTTGAAGCAATGAAAAATGAATAAAAACTTTGTCTTATATGCGAGTAAATATGGTAATTGAATTAAGCCTGTTCTAATTGTTACAATATACTTTTTGTTGTAAAGTTTTTAATTTGTAATATAGGGTACATTTGTAAAATTGAATAAGTTGAACAAGAATAACATTATTATTATTCTTATTTTTGCCAGACATTTTTACTGATTTGTTTGCAACAAAATGAATATTTCTAAAATCAAAATTGTTAATACTGTATTTCTAGTGCAGTCATATCTGTGAAATATGTTTCTTGGATTGCTTCATTTTGGCAATTATTTACATCATTTCACCTTTTAATTCACAATTTATATACTCAAGTAACTTTATAAACATTAATGTCACTGGATATAATATTTTCTTCATAATGTGAACTAAATGTTTTCTAAGAGTTTTATATGAAATGTCATCAATGTAGTACTTTATGCTTCCCTTGTTAGCAATTCATTTGATTTTATAAACATATATGTATGATTTATTTTAGTAATACTTCTCCATCTTTTGAATACCAACATATGTGGTTGGATTTAATTTATTTTGTACTAGCAGACCCCGCCATGCATTGTTGTGGCTCAAAATGTATCTATTATAAATGTATAACACTTCCCCTGTGGAGGGGGAATTTTTTTGAAAAATCCCTTAGTGTACATTTTCTTGACGTACCCTATTAAAACGCAATCAAAAAAGCAAAAAATCGCATCTGAAATAGTATAATAGAAGCCAAGTTCTTTACGGTAAGCCTTAATCCTGTCCCTCTCCCCCGCGGGGGGAATATCGAAAAATCCCTTTGTTGTGTATATTCTGTTGACGTACCCTATTAAAACGCAATCAAAACCGCATCTAAAATAGTATAAATAGAAGCAGAGTTCTTTACGGTAAGCCTTAATCCTGTACATCTCCCAGGGGGATTTCGACATGTACTGTACAGTATATTATATAAAAACACGTGCGTATTCGAATGCAGCATTGTGTCAAAATTTCAAAGGAATCAGTAGGAACAAACGAACATTACATTTTTATTTATATAGATAGATAGAAGATAATCTGCTTTAGTTCATTTTCACAGAAAAGCATAATGCCTCACAGAAAAGCAAACTTAGGGCATCATACTCATAGCGCCATCTGTTGGACATAAAAGCCTTAACCTAGATTATATCATTTAATTTATATGAATGTTTAACGGAATAATATACAGCCTATGTCCACCCTGAGGTTCCATTCTAAATATTGGTGAAAGAATTTTTGAAATCGGATGAGTAGTTTCAGAGATTACCCACTACATCCAAACTTACAAACATTACTTCTTTATAATATTAGTATAGATTTAAAATTTTATATATACTAAATTATATATATGTGTGCTACTTCTGACTGCCTTTAGTGGTTCAATCCCAGCATTTTATATCATTTCGTGACATTTTTCACATTACTGTTATGATTTATAAATGTTTACCTAAACAATATAGTTATACATAACTTAAACTGAAAAATAAGCAGGATGTGCTAGCTACTACAGTTACTCAGCTGAATTAATTGATGCACTTTTAATGGGGGTGAAGTTTCACATTATCATTTTTTACCTAATTAATAGTGAAAGCAAAGTCTGTACATATTTAAGATTCAAAGCTTACAGAATATGCACAAGTCAATCAGAGACTAAAAAGAATACAATAACAGATAACAATAGCCTATGTTGTTAGTATTAAGTTTAATAACTAACAATATAGGTCAATGCAAACACTTTTTAAAGTGATAAACATGTTTAAAAGAACATTCACATATTCATTTGGTGTTATAAATTAGACACATACAGAACTAGAACAGTTCTAAAGGAAAACATTAACTAAGTACAATGCATGATATTCTAAATCCTTTATTGAAACTTTAAAAAAGGCTAACTCTTTTTCCATAAAGAGAGAGAACAGGGTCTCACTTAAGGGAAAGGAAGAGTACATATTAAATCTTCACTACCAACAAGTACAGACACTGTCAGTTTTTCTTTGAAAAATAAC